TTGGGAAGGCCATGGTTACATGCAATGGGGGTTGTTCCCTCAATACTGCATCAACTATTGCGGTTCCCAACAGAGCATGGGACTAAAAAGGTCAGAGGAGATCAATTGCAGATAAAAAATTGCTCCATGGCAGCAATGAAATCCACCTGTAGCATTCGAGAACCAGAAAAGACAAATCGAAGACGAGGACGTGGAGGTCCTAGAAGATGTCGGCAAGGAGCCAGTCGAGAAGAGTGAAGAAGCACTGAAGAAAATCCTTGTCCAAGAAGGGGATGAAGAAGCTTCTTTCTTCTCGGCTCGGGCTTAGCCGAAAAAGAGGAAAAAGAATTGGAAGCTTTTTTGAGAGCAAACATTGAGGTGTTCGTGTGGACGCCTTACGAAATGCCATGTATCGACCCCGAGGTCACTTGCCATAAGCTGAACGTTGACAGGTCGGCCAAACTTGTAATTCAACGAGCCAGAACACCAACGTTGGTACACGTTGAAGCAGTGGAAGAATAAGTAGACAGACTTCTCGAGGCCAGGGCCATCCGAGAGGTAAATTACCCGACATGGCTATCAAACACAGTAGTGGTGAAAAAGAAGAAGGTAAATGGAGGGTCTGTGTAGACTTTACCAGTTTAAACAAAGCCTGTCCCAAAGACAGCTTTCGTCTACCCAAGATTGACCAGCTGGTAGACGCCACTTCAGGGCATGAAAGGATGAGCTTCCTGGATGCCTACAGGGGATACCATCAGATAGCCATGTACCCCCCAGATGAAGAGAAGACTGCGTTTATCACCCCAAAAGGACTGTACTGCTACAGAGTGATGCCTTTTGGGTTGAAAAAAGCAGGAGCGACTTACCAAAGGTTGGTAACCAAGATGTTCAAACAGCTAATTGGCAGAACAATGGAAGTCTACATCGACGACATGGTCGTGAAAACCAAGGAACCCGAAGGATATATGGCCGACCTCAAAGAAGTATTTGAAATCCTTAAGACATATCGGCTCCGACTCAATGCCTCGAAGTGTGCATTTGGAGTTGGATCTGGTATGTTTTTGGGATACCTGGTGACCAAAAGGGGCATTGAGGCCAGCCTAGATCAGATCAAGGCCATCTTAGAACTGAAGAGTCGGGCATCGACAAAACAGGTGCAGATGCTAACCGGAAAGGCCGCAGCCCTGAATAGATTCATCAGCAGAAGCTTAGACAAGTGCAGACCTTTCTTTAGCTTAGTGAAGAAAGCCACAGACTTCCTGTGGATCGAAGAATGCGAGGCCGCCTTGGCCGACCTAAAGAAGTATCTGACCACAGCTCCAGTCCTTTCAAATTCAGAACCTGGAGAGGAGCTATTTTTATACTTAGCCGTTTCAGAGCATGCGATAAGCGCAGTAGCGAGAAGACAAAGGGGAACAAAGGGTTATTTACTATGTAAGCAAAACCCTGGCCGATGTAGAAATGAGGTATCTACCCTTAGAAAAATTGACACTGGCTTTGGTAATGGCTTCAAAAAAGTTGAACCATTACTTCCAGGCCCATAAAATTGTGGTGCTAACAGAACACCCCTTGAAGTCCTTACTACAACAAGGAGACCTGACAGGAAGAATAGCCAGGTGGACAGTGATCCTAGGCCAGTATGACCTAGAGTACAGGCCAAGGACAGCAATCAAAGGCCAGGTTCTGGCCGATTCGTGGCCGAGTTCACGCCAAAATCCATCGAACATCGGGCTCCGTTGAGCCAGGGTGAACGATGTCCAAACAAGCAAGGAGAAGCTCAGCCAAAGGCGAAAGAACAAAGAAAGAAGGAAAAACTTAGACCCTGTAGCATTTACATCGGCGACTCTTTTCGACTGTTCGTTGATGGGAGTTCAAACTGACAGGGAGCGGGGGCAGGAGTAGTGCTGATATCTCCAGATGGACAGATAGTGGAACAATCCATTCGTTTGGGGTTCAAAGCCTCAAACAACGAAGCAGAGTATGAAACATTGATTACAGGACTAAAGCTGGCAGTAGCAACAGAGACATATGAGGTAATAGTTTTCTGCGACTCCCAGCTCATTGTCAACCAGACAACGGGCGAGTTTGCTGCCCGAGATGAACGGATGTCGGCCTACGCAAAGGAGGTCATCAGGCTGGCAGCCTTGTTTTAGAACTGCCGACTACTTCAGGTTAGCTGAGATGATAACAGCCACGCCGATGCGTTGGCCTACCTAGCTAGTACAGTACAACCTGGAAAAGCAAGGACAATAATGATCGACTATTTGTCGGGCCCGAGCGTCGAGCCACTATCCACAGAGCATGAAGCAATGTGCGTGGACATGGGACCAAGCTGGATGGACGCAATTGTTGCATTCTTGAAAGAAGGGAACCTGCCAGACGATCACAAAGAGGCACACAAGATCAGATTAAAGTCGACAAGATTCAGCCTGACAGCAGAGGGGCATCTCTACAGAAGGTCCTTCACTAGACCTTTTTTAAGGTGCGTGCATCCTTTACAAGTTGAAGATTTTCTATATAAAATTCATGAAGGAATTTGTGGAAGCCACGCTGAAGGCAGATCACTCGCCCATAGGGCCATTACCCAGGGGTATTGGTGGCCTTACATGCAGAAGGACACAGAAGCATATGTGAAGAAATGTGAAAAGTGCCAGAGATTCGTACCACTAATACACCAACCAGCAGCAGACCTGAACCCTGTATCCAGTCCTTGGCCATTTGCCCAATGGGGCATGGATCTTGTTGGGCAACTACCCCAAGCAACTGGGCAAAGGAAGTACTTGCTAGTGGTAACTGATTACTTCACTAAGTGGATAGAAGCTGAACCCCTTGCCAAAATCCGAGATGTGGATGTAAAGAAATTCATTTGGAAAAATATCATCACCAGATTTGGGATTCCAAGAGCAATAGTTACAGACAATGGAACACAATTTGACAGTAAGCTAATTAAGAGCTTCTGTGCAAAGTTCAAGATCACGAACTACTTTTCAACACCAAGCTTTCCCCAAAGCAATGGACAAGCAGAAGCATTCAACAAAGTAATTCTGGACGTGATAAAAAAGAGGCTGCAGGCAGCAAAAGGAAAGTGGATGGACGAGCTGCCCAATGTGCTCTGGGCATATCGGACTACGCCGAGAAGATCAACAGGGGAATCCCCCTTTGCCATGGCTTATGGCACAAAAGCAGTTATTTCGCTAGAGGTCGGCATCCCAGGAATCAGAACCCAGGGAGTAGAGAACGGAACTAATGATGTACTCTTAGCCCGAGATCCGGATCTTCTAGAAGAACGAAGGGAGAAAGCTGCGATTCAGCTCGCAGCGTACCAGCAGCAGCTTGCCAGAGCTTACAACAAGAGAGTTAACCCAAGGGAGTTCCAAGTCAGCGACCTGGTCTTGAGAAAAGTCGTCGGCAACAAAAAGGATCCCAGAGAGGGGAAGCTTGGCCCAAAATGGAAAGGACCCTACAGAATAATCTCGGTACTGGGTAATGGGGCTTATTGGCTTGAAGATAATGAGGACAAAGAGTTGCCAAGGCCTTGGAACACTTGCAATTTAAAAATTTTCTATCATTAGAATTCCTTTGTTTTTTTGTCATTTGCCGAAGTAAATAAATAAAGATTCAGCTTGGTTTCTTTTCAAGATACTTGACATTGTCTCTAGAATACATGTATAATGAGAACCCAAGTAGAACTTAGATTCACATGAGGGGGCAGAGAGAGGCGAAATCATTGTTTAACACTTGTTGAAATTTGTGGACAATTTACAAGTTGAAGTTAAGCCGAAATCATTGTTTAACACTTGTTAAAATTTGTGGACAATTTACAAGTTGAAGTTAAACTGAAATCATTGTTTAACACTTGTTGAAATTTGTGGACAATTTACAAGTTGAAGTTAAACCGAAATAATTGTTTAACACTTGTTGAAATTTGTGGACAATTTACAAGTTGAAATTAAATTGAAATCATTGTTTAACACTTGTTGAAATTTGTGGACAATTTACAAGTTAAAGTTAAGCCAAGGTTAAACATTTGTTGAAATTTTATGAAAAAAATTTACAAGGTGAAACCAAGGTTATGCCAAGAAAAGTACTTGGGTACTTGTCGAGATAAAACATCAGTTTGTATAACCGAGGTGTGTCACCCCGAGAAGATTGCACGAGGATTGAAGTATATATTAAAGATATGCAAAAATATTCCAAGTATGGAGGCATACAAAGCAAGCATGCAAGCATTCAAAAGCAAAAGAGTTGTCATATTAAAAACACATCGGCAATGTGAAGAAGTTTACAGTACTTCAAAAAAAGAAAAACAAAGTACAAGAAAAAAAGGGAAAAACATAAGGCTAAGACTCCTCAGCAGTAGCAATTGGTTGAGTTTGAAGTTCAGACGATTGCTGGGAAGACATCTCAGCAGCCTTATCCGCCGCAAGCTTGGCGTCAATTTCTGCAAGAGTTTCATCTAGGCTCTTGTCGGCAAGGGGAACGACAGCCGATGTCTTCTCAGCCGCAACATCTTTTGGGACCTCTTCACCCTCCTCATCTTGAGTCAAGTCCAGGACTTGCTCATTCAGAGAAGGGAACTTGGTCCCAGTAGTCTCCTTTGATTTCCTCACCAAAACTTCCTTCTCAACCTCATCCTCGAATCATAATTGTTGTCAGATTGACTGGGAGGTGGAGTTGGAGAGAATGACAGGGGAATGGCATTGGCGTTCCTCAAGAAGGAGTCTTCAGGGACATCAAGTTTCTTCAGCAAAGTCATACAACCAAAGGAGAAACCCTTGTTGCATGCTTGCTTGACTTGCTTTTCATAGGCCTCTGTGACATCGGTCATGCCCTGGGCATACGCCTTCTTGTCGGCATCCTTGATTTCGGCCTCTTTGGTGGCCAAGGTGTCTTGAAGTTCTTTTTGGGCCTGGGCCACTTTTTCCTCGGCTTCTCTCTTTTGGGCCTCAAGAACCTTCTTGATGGCCTCAATAGATTCTGTCTTTTCTTCGGCATCATTTTGGGCCTTGATGGCAGCCTCGGCTTGGTCTTCCAGCTTCTTCATTTTTTATTGTAAACTTTTGTTGGCTTTTTGAAAACTGGAGACCTCCCTCTTCATCTCGGCAAACCTCTCCCGGTTCTCAAAAGATTGAACTGAGAAAGAATGGGCGTGCTGGATGGCTTGAAAGTAAACAGAACAAAAGTTGTTAGAAAAAATTACAAGAATGAAAAGAACAAAACGAAAGAAGAAGTTGCCAGATAAAGATACTTACTTGAACAGAACACTGAAGCATCAGAGCGTAATTTTCATACTCGCTCAACTCGGCGTTTCGGTCAAGATCGCCAAGGAGAAGCAGAGCAGTACTGAGGGCTACGCCGACGTTGATGTCCTCAGCGCTATCATTGGCCATGACTGGGTTATCTTCCAAGGTAATTTTGGGGGCCCAGGGGGCATCATGTTTTTTAGACCCCGAGGTCGTTGCAGAGGATGACCTCGGTTTCTTTGATTTTGGGGATTCGGATGGCTGGGCCTCAGAACGCCTCTTCTCAGCAGCGGATTGGGACTTGTCGCTTTCATGCAATTTAGAAATCGACAAGCTTTTGATTCTTTTCTGTTTTGGTAGAGGCTGGGTTTGTGTTGGCTGAGCGTCGACATCAGAGGGGATATTGGCCAGGAGATCTTTTGCAACGGCTCTTTGACGGCCCATCTCGGCAAGAAAAATTGTTCGATGTTGGTGACGGCGCTGGGATATCGAAATCAGGTATGGACCGAGGTTGAAGGTTGCTCAGCTGGATCAGAAGTTAATCTTTGGTCTGTCCGAGATGTGGACGCAACTTGTGGAGTTGTGGCAGATGGTGGAGAAAGACTTTTCTTCTTCTTTTTTGGGATGTCGGAGAGAGCTGACTTGTAAGTGGGGATAAAGTTGAGAAGCAGAGGGGTTTTCCGCTTGTGAACTGGTAAATTCAATAGTTTCTTTAAATCTTTGCTGGGGAAAATAAACTGACGGAAGCCCTTTGGTGGCTGAGGAAGAACTGCAAAGAAGAAAAAAGCATACACATTAGAAAAAAATGTTGAACACTTTATACAAGAAAGCAAGAAAATTTGTGAAGGGTGGCCCTTACCAGCTTCTTCCCCGAAAATTGTTCGACCAAGGGGATAAAGATGAAGGTCATCGTTTGGCTGAAACTCACAGTTTCCCGAGACGATGAAGTAATCATCCCCCGCTCCCTTGTTGGAGTCAGGGAGGTCGGCAATGATTTTGTATTCAGTGGACCTCGACTTAAGGTAATAAATGTGACATTTTTCCGATTTTAGGCGACACATGATATAATAGTACTGGAAATCGACAAGAGTCATCCTAACACTTTCTTGTTTGGCTAAAGCTATGGTACCGTTAATAACTCGGTAAGAGTTGATGGCAAGTTACATTGGGTTCAACTTATAGAAATAAAGGATTTGACGGAAAAAAAGGATCAAGTGGAAACCTAAGTCCACACTCAATAAACGCAACCACTGAGAAAGGCATGAGGTTTTCATCAGGCATGATAGAGTCATCCTCCCCAGCCAACCTCAGATGAACGTCAGCCGGGATTTCGAACTCCTGCCTAAAGTACTCTAATTTTTCCGGGGTGTTTATCCTATGTTCCCACATACCCATGACGTCGGCTTAAAATGGAGATATTGGATTTCAAGAAGAAGTATTTTTTGAGGGTTTAAAGGACCTCGGCTAAAAATCTACAAATATGCTATGATAAGGGTTTGTATAGATCTAGAAGGAATTCGTTTCAGTTTTTCCTAAAGATTGTGGGTTCCACAAACAAGTCCCAAACCTAAAGCTATGGAGATGAAGACTGAAGGAATGAATCTGGAAAATAGAAAAACAGGGATCCGTTTCAGAAACAAGAATGGTGATGAAGACATCAAGAAATCAAGACAAAAATATTGCACAAATGTATTAGGCCAAGAACAGTGGCAGAAAGCAATAGGCATGTGAACAATGCGAGTGTTCAAGACATGGACAAAGAGCAAAATTATGAAATAAACATGTTTAGATACATGATTCGCAAATCAAATATTCGAGTAAAACAGCAATGGCGACTAAATGATGAAACAGAATTTCATGGAACACAACAAGAACTAAAAAACAGGAGGAGTGGTGACTTACTAGAGAAAAGAAGCCGATGCTTGAGATCGCCAAAGTCAGAAGAACGACGGCAGTGGAACAGATTGGCAAGAACTTTGACGAAAGAAATGGATGGAGCAAGTTGCAGAGCTTTAGAGCTTGCAAAAATAGAGGATTAGAGGAAGCTAGAGAGAGAAAGAGTTCTGAATAAAAGCAATGTAAATTGAAAAAAAAACGAAAGGGGGAAAGAAGTTTTGTCAAAAACTTGAAATGGCAACAAAAGAAGGCATTTAATGCGCCTGGAACAGCGAATGCGTCAGACGGCGCATGTAGACGCGAAACGACTTATAAGCGCGTCCGGAGTACGATCTAGTAAAGAGAAAACATGTGGCTAAACGGTTGAGCTGTTATGTATGACAGCTTATACGCGTGAAGGAGCTCTTGGAATTCTTGATCTTTAAAAAGACATATCGGCCTACGATGATGATCTCGGATTAAGCCGATGTACTAGCATGAGGTACTGATATAGGTTCCATCACCTCAGAATGTCGAGGTAATAGAACCTAGGGGGCAGTTGTGGGGTTATATTTTCTGAGTACCAACACGTGACTAAGGTGACGCCGACGTGTCAGCCGAGATGCCACGTGTCCTGGTCATGACGCCGAGGTTATCTCGACGAGGCCGAGGTTACCTCCGAAGATATCGGAATCCGAGATAAGCGGATAAGGCACAAGAGTCCTAGAATGAGGGAAGACTACTGTTGGGAAATGATAAGACTCTTAGGAAGTTTTATCCCAATCCTATTGAGAGTCCAAGATTTATAGTAATCCTAAGTCCATTAGAGCTAGGCTTCTATTGGAACTAGGATTGAGTTAGCTACAAAAGAGAGGCACCCCCGTGGGTCTAAGGTACGCAATATATATTTTGAATAGTGAGTTTAGCACTATTGATTATGTTTGAGAGATATACTGATTTGATCGTCGGAGTGTCCCCGAGTGGACGAACTACCGCCGGAATCTTCTCTTTCTGTTGCAGGTTAGCCATGTGTTATCTATTCTACCAGTGTTCTCCAGCTGAATACTGAGTTGGACAGTGTGATCAGAAAATCACTCACACAGTAATAACTAAAAGCACTTGAACTATTCAGATATGCATATACAAATAGCATTGATAACTAGTTAATGATCCCACCTTTATTATCGAAACAATTCAAGGAATTTCGTATTCCTTTGAATGTCTAGGTAGAGCATATTTTCATTTGAGTTATTTATCAAATTCATGTTATTTTAAACTTACACGACTCAAATGAACAACCTGAATTTTTTAAAATAAGTTTACAATAACTCCCATTGACATATATGGTTCAAAATAACATGACAAAACTCATCTTCTCCTCTTTGATTTTCAACAAGGCAGTTCACATGTATGAAGTTGGTTGAGACCACTAATGAGTTTTATGCACCAATCAGCTGCTCAACATTCATGGGGACTGCATACTGTTGAGAACCATGAAAAATCGTGTCAACAAAAATGCGAGCAGCTGCCTCAGTAGGATGATATAGATCCCAGAAGACATGATCACTTCTGTTGGAGCAATAACTTGAAACTGGCACGCATGGAACTTGGGCTCTTAAGTTTCCTAACCCACAACATGCTGATTTAATCTCATTAAATCCTGAAAAAAAAAACAAAGATTATGATTAATTACACATGATGTGGTGAAAATCTCAAAAAATTATCATACTACTGAAAATGTATTGAAATAAGACTACGAGGATTGTGGAGTTAGAGGATCCTGACAAAATAGACGACAAATATAATTTTGAAAATGATGGACGTGGTTGGTTAAAGATCGAAACAAGAAGTGAAGTACCGAAGGTGGAGGGAGTTTGAATGAAGCGAACGAAGACACCATAGATGTCCAGAAAGGAGTAGTCTATGTCCTTGAGCTCTGATTTGAGTCCCTGCAACATTGATTTCAGGCCTTCATTGTACTTGACAGTCCAGTAGTTTGCTTCCTCATTACATTCTTCAGTTTTGTTCTGATTCCTCTGTGAGGGACAACAACCTATTGCTCCAATCCCAGCAATCACATATTTACGTGCACCAAAATTATGCACGCTCTGCAAAATGTTAATTAATTAGCAAATTCTAAAAATTTTAAAAATTCTAAAATTATGCACGCTCTACAAGACATAGTGAACCACAAATTCTAAAAATTTTGCAAGTTCATAAAACCAAGCTCGTTCGAAAATTGATGATTTTAATTGAATTTTTTTCTTTTTACAAAAAAACAAATAAATAAAAAAGAGAATGATGTGATTAGATGTTTTGACTTTTAGCCAAAAATCCAACATACCAAACACCTACTACAAACTCAAGAAAATTATCTAGAAATATACTTAGAAAAAACATCTAAAGATTATAATAATTTTATGTATAATCCATGTGTGACCGACTTTAAATCTACACCATCCCTATCATTCGAGGTAATTTTGGAGGCAAAAGTTCATGATTTCTAGCATTTTATATAACGAAATCAAGGGTATTTTAGACAATTTATCTAAAAAAATGTCATTTTGATATCTCCATTGCTAATTATGCCATTAGTTGAGGATCAAATAAAGACATTTTAGTTTTTTAGACAAAAAAAAAAATTGACAATTAAAAAGTTGGAACTGATCTCATATTTTAAGACCAAAAGTGTATTTTAATTTTTTTAATTAACAATTTACTTTTGCAGATAAAATAAATAAATAAACAAATAAAATGTTGCATCTATCAAAGTTTTGTTTGATTGATTTACCTTCAAAACTTGTTTGAGAGTGAGAACCATTAAATCAACATACTGCTGTGGGGTGCTTTTCTTAGGAAGATCCGACCCGGAACTGAAGTAGCCCAGCAAATCATTGCTTCCAATGACGACGGTGAAGAGTGATTTTGAAAGATGTAGTTGGGCCCCAGATGACCCAAGTTGGCGTACCAGATCTTGGTACACAACAGTAGAATAGTACTCCACTTGTTTGGATAATGGAACTGATTGTTTCTACAAATAATTAACGGTAATTGATTGTTACTGTTGGGTTCATAAGTAATTAGGCCCACTTGATATATATATATATATATATCTTCATGAGATAGTTATTTGGACTCTTTTGTTTCGTTCAGGTTATTTTAATTTGAGAAATTTTTTATTATTATTTTAGTTAATCAAATTAAAAAATTTCTTAATAAGACAAAAATTAGGAAATTTTTGTCTCAAAAGTTTCTCATTTTCATTTTATTAGATTTTTTTTTTTTCAAATTCAATATATATTTTATGATTATTATTTTTAAGTTCCTCAAGTATCATAAAAATCCAAAAAAGTTTCAATCTACTTTGGAAAAAAAATCTTCATAAGACAAAAATATGCTGAATTTTCAACTTTTTTTTTTTTTGTTTTTAGTTATAGATACATGGTTATTCACTCCAGTATCTTATGTTGTTATGAGTGTTTTTTATTTTTTATTTTTTTATAGATTGAATAAATCTACACCTAAGAATTAATGATATTCAAATTTAAAACTTAGACTTGCTTATTAAGTTGAATGATCAATTAACCAATCACTCTCATATGCTATTTGTATCTCTCATTTATTGTTTAATTTATTTAATTATTAACTAATCATCTAATTCACACATTATTGAATCTACAAAATAAATTTGAAAAGTAAATTTATATATTATTTCTCAAGATGAGGCTTCTTTGATGTTCGTAATCAGACTAGAGGGTATTGTTGGGCTCGTAGAGACCCAACATGGGTCCCATTTCGCTTATCCGAATCGTTCAATGTGTAGAACTCGTCGAGTACTATATGCGTGTAAAAAATTATATTGATCGGATATCAATAGCTATCTCATCGGATAAGATTTTTGTCAACCATTTATTTTTTCACCGTCTATTTTTTTATATAAAACTGATTTGATCACATAGCTATCAATATCCAATCAACGTGATTTTTTGCAGACATATAATACTCGACGAATTCTACACATTAAGCAATTCAGATTATTAAAACGAGATCCATGATGGTTCCTACGAACCCAACAATACTTTAATCAGACTTAAGAGAAGGCAACTCCCATTTTTCAATAATTAAATGATAGAAAAGTACTTACAAAGAGTTGATCAGTGCTATTAAAGATTCCAGCACCTCCGGAGGCAAAGCTAACGCCGGTGATTGGAAATGCATTATTGCTAGTCTTGTTAGAGACAAGTGAGAGATACGGGGGAGGTGTCACTATACCCGCTTTCTCAGCTGCCAAAGAATTCCAAAACACCAACCAAAAATATAAAAGATCACATACATTTGCCTATTTACACGGCATTTTACTAATAAAAATAATCAGCATGTTTGGTTATCATTTTTTAAAAATACTTTTTAAAAAATTTTACTTTCTTATTTTTCGTATTTTTTTATTTTTACTGAATTTTTTTAATATTTTAAGCAATTTTTTTAATTTTTAGACATACCTAACATAAATATACTTAAAAAGTAAAAAAAATTTGAAAAAATATTTTAAAAATTCACTAAATATCAAAAATATAAAAAAATACGAGAATTCAGTACATTTTTTATATTTTTATGTATTTATTAATTTTTAAAAATATTTTTTTATAATTTTTTCACTAAATATCAAAAATATAAAAAAAATACGAGAATTCAGTACATTTTTTATATTTTTATGTATTTATTAATTTTTAAAAATATTTTTTTATAATTTTTTTACTTTTTAAATACATCTAAGTAAGGTGCGTCTAAAAAAGTAAAAAAAATGTTTAAAATTTAAAAAATATTCACTAAAAACAAAAAAATACGAATATCAAAAAATTTAATTTTTAAAAAAATTTAATTCAAAAAATTCAAACCAAACCCACTGAATAATTATTAGATGATTATGAGGTGGAGTTGGCGTGGTGGTGATGTTGAAAATTTATCTCAAACTCCTGCCGACAATATACAACAGTCACATTATTGCATGTCCTCCAATAGGAAAACACAAATTATTATGTTTTTTAACCGTTTGATTCAGGTTTTTTTTTTTAATTATTTTAATTTAAATAATTTGATTCTTACATTTTTAAATTAAATTTTAATTTACTTACTCTATCTAAAATTTCGTTAATTATTTTTTATGTATATGTTTCAAGAGATTGACAAATGCCTTAAAATTATACCTTGCTTGTTTTCACTTTTCAAAAAATACTTTTCAAAAAATTTTACTTTCTTATTTTTCGTGTTTTTTTGTTTTTATTGAATTTTTTAAATATTTTAAGCAATTTTTTCCCTTTTTAGACACACCTAACATAAATACACCTAAAAAGTAAAAAAATTGTAAAAAAAATTTTTTAAAAATTCACTAAATACCAAAAATATCAAAAATACAAAAAAATACAAGAATTCGGTACATTTTTTATATTTTATGTATTTATTAATTTTTTAAAATATTTTTTCACAAATTTTTTACTATTTAGATACATCTAAGTAAGGTGCATCTAAAAAAGTAAAAAAAAAAATGTTTAAGCCTGCGTTTGGTTGTGTTTTGTAAATGTGATTTGAGAGTATGAGTTGTATTTTGAGTTTGTGTGTTGTAGAATTATGATTTGAGTGTAGAAAATTTGTTTGGTAAAGAGTTTTGAAAATAGTTTTGGAAAAGAGGTTTGATTTGAGTGGGGAATTATTGATGTGACATTTGATATGTGATACAAAAATTTACAACTCATAACTAAACATACAATTCAAAATTATTTTAAAGCACATAAAAAATTTAAAAATTTTCAGAAAATATTTTTCCCGATTATATAAATGAATTGCAAAAAAAAAAAAAAATCTGTGCAGCAGAGGACATCCGGGCGGATGTCCCTAGGGACGTTCGGGTGGAAGACCCCATGGACATCCGGGCGGTCTTCCCTGAGGCAAAAAAATCACAAAAAAAGCTGCTGATGCACAGAGCTCTCGGCAGAGATTTTGAAAATTGATTCCAAACACTCAACCAAACATCATACTGAAACGCACATGTAGAATTACATTTTCAATTCACAACCAAACAGAGCCTAAAATTTTAAAAATATTCACTAAAAACAAAAAATACGAAAACCAAAAAAGTCAATTTTCAAAAAATTTAATCCAGAAAACTCAAACCAAACACACTGATTAATTTTAATTTTCAATTTGAACGAAAAAAGTCAAATTAAAACTAAGTTTAAAGTGTAAAGATTATATTATTCATTTAAAACAATAGAGATTAAAATAAAATATGAGTCAAATTATATAAGTTAAAAGTATAATTTACTCTTTTTTCCAATTAAATTGACCCTAAATTATATATCAGCCAAGTAGTAGCATTTTTTATTTAAAAAAATAAAATAGGCTATTAAATTTTATTTATTTTTAATTAAGTTCTTAAACTATTTAACAAAAAAAAATGTCAGATTAATTATCACGTTTTTTCATGTGCCATTTTACTTTTTTCATACTTCCTCCGTCTCAAAATATTAGTCCCTTATTCTATTTTTTATTATCCCAAAATATTAGTCCATATTCAAAAATCAAGTACAAAAATAATATAAATTTCTTATTTTGCCCTTCTTTTAAATTAATAAACAATATAAAAAGTAAAATTATGACATTGATATTTTTAAAAAATATACTATCAAAAAGATAATTTTGAAAAATCAACTTTTTTTTAAATGCAATAATTGTACTACCACAAAAAATTAGATTCTCTAAAAAAAACCAATATTTTAAGACTAATGGAGTAATTATTTTCTTATCAATAATGGTAGAGACTCATATAACGTCAGATTAATGTCAGATTATTTTCTTATCAGATTAATGTCAGATTATTTTCTTATCACGTTTTTCCATGTGCCATTTACACAAAATTTTACACTCATATAATTTTTATTTTTTGTTGGTGAAAAAATTGAGTGAATTGTTAATATTTTTTCTATGATTAGTTTATTTAATAAAAAAACCAAACAAACTTTTCTTTCTTTATTTCTTTTTGACTTAAGCCGAAACAAGAGGTAGCCTAATGACCAAAACAAGCATGATGAAAAAATGAAAAAGCAAATTGGATTTGTAATTGGATTTTGTTTTTGTAAAGTAATAAATGTTGAAAGTGATGTTGTAGGGAGAGGGTGTACCTAGAAGGTCTGCAGAGTTATGGCCGTTACTGAACCTTCCGGTGGGTTTTTTGCCGGGAAAGTCGACGCCGTTATGCGGAAAATCAGCTTTGGCGAGGGAGAGTTTGAGGTGGTTGTTGTTTCCGACATCTACTAACGAGTCTCCAAACACGTACATGCCCGGTACTTTCTGAGCTTCCGAGAAACTGAATCCCAATACTAAGAGAGAGAAGAGGAACAAGGAAGTCATTGTTGAAACTTTGAGTCCCATTTCAGGGGGTACTCTCTCTCTCTCTCTACAAGTTTGGAATATGAGTTGGTAGATGGGTTTTTAAAGGGGTGAGAAAGAAAGAGAATATGGAGGAGGAGGAGGAGGAGGAGGAGTACTGTGTGTGTCGTTGTGGTCTAAAACCCAGGTGTGAAAGGCAGACATTAGTTTACAAATTAGACCAGTGTCGTGTAGTTATTTTTACTTTATTTCTTATGTTAGGCTTATAGGCTATTACCACATAATGTTTAGTGTCACAATCAAATATAAGAAAAATAACTATTATTGTTTGGTTGAGTTTCCATAATCTATTTTTAAAAAATATTTTCAAAACTTAATTTGCTGAAAAATATGGAAAAAAAAAATACACTCATTGTTTTCATTCTCTTTTGAGCAAAAATATTTTGAAAAATTTAGAAATATCCTTTTTATTGTAGTTATTTTCGTCAAATTAATTTTTATTTTTTAAAGAACACCATTAAAAAATAAATTTTAAAAACCCAATCAAATATATATTTGTAAAAGCATTTTCTAAAATATATATTTCGTTGAAAAAGTATAATTCATTCATATCTATGGATTCTGGTAGATTGCAAAACCTGTTCAAGCAAGGAAGAATAGAACTGTAAATGGGTGCCCAATCTTAGTCTTAGGTTTTGTTTGGGATCAGACTATTTAAATAATTTTTTTACTTTTTACAAAAAAAAAAAAAATAGAGAGAATAATGTGATAATTTATAATAAATTTTTAATTTTTTTGACTAAAATTTATAATTAATTGACAAACGAAATCTTAGTGAGTAATATTGAAGTGGGCCAACTTGTGTAATGTTTTTCTAAATGAAATGAGTCATCAAAAGATGAATTATAGGAAAATGTTTACGTTGATTTGGTCTTTTAATTGTTTTAGGGGTTAATTACATATACACGTAACCTCCCTCTAATATGGAGTGAAATGTAAAAATTACAGATTTTGTCGATGTTAACAGAACGTGTATAACATGCACTACATTCCGGGTGCCTCTATTTACACACCCCATTTTATTTTAAGGCACAAGATTAATTGATTATTATTTTATTACAATAATAACCTTATCTAAAATGACCAAAATGACCAAAGACACACCTTAGTTGAATACACAACCTTCATTAGTTAAATTACCAAAGCTCCACCATTGCACAACAGTGGTGGAATCTATATCTCCCCTATCTTTTTTACAACTGCACATTATCTCTCCACCATGTCATCGCCCTTTCTTTTTCCTTATTTCCTTCAACAATCCAAAGCCACCATGGGACCACCACCTCACTGTAGCACAGAAATAACACACCATGACGCCCACTGAAATAGGTTATTAATATGGAATAGTTTATAATTAATTCATAGACATAAGAACAGATTGAGGTCATTCTCATGCTTTTATCGTCAAAATAAATATTTTCATTATTCAATTTTTACCCACAGTGAAAGACTTTTTCATTAACCAGTAGACATAAATGCCCACTGTTATATTCCCCAAATCTACTGTAATGATTATCATCATACATAAAAGGTCTACATAAATATATGTATGTATATGTGTGGGTTTTTATGGTAGTGAATTGAAAGAGAGGAAAGAGGCATGGGTTCTAGATTTGTATATATATAACTATACATATATACGTGTATGGGTATGTATAACTAGTTCGGCTGTGAAATCTGGTTGCTTCCATAAAAATAAAATAAAGATTAAAAAAAGGCAGCTATAATGCAGTGGAATGAAGAAGTGATGATGGGTGGTCTATTGGAGCATGCAACTGTTGACTATTGCCATGGGTTGAGAAAGAAAGGAGATAATAGAGAGAGAGAGAGAAGGTACCTGGTTCATGATGGCATAATAAAAATAAAAATTAGAACAAAGAATATAAAGGCATAATAGACTTTACACAAATTTTATTAACGGAATTTACTTCATACCATAAGAGGGTTATGTATATATTTATAGATCATAAGGGGATAATGTGTTTTTCAACTAAATCATAGAGAGGTAAACTGTAATTAACCCTGCTTTTAGTTAGATTAGATGATCGGGACAACTTTATCTATGATCTCTGTACGGGGAGCAAATATTCTGACAAGCCCATACTCCTTTCTTTCGAGCTCTGTTACCATCTGATCACTTGCGAGCAAATAACGGTGAGCTACCCGGCGGTGTGTGGCCGGAAAAACCCTCCGACGATCAAGTTAGCGCACACCTTAGGATAGAGAGAGAGAGAGAGAGAAAGGAGTGTTTGAGTGTAAGAATTTCCTTACAAAATGTTCCTGTGTCCCGCATAGGGGGTGTAGACATGCTTATATACCCTTCTGCGCTCCAAATCTACTCTTATTCGTCTCTCGACACGTGGCTCTGTTATCCCATCTGTCAGCACAAATCTTGCTATACATCACTTAACCCAACTGCCAACCCACTCTGCTGGGAGCACGGCAGCCGGGCAACATTACCTCGGCTATCAACGGCCATACTGATCATGCCGAAATGCAGTTGATATAGTTTCCTATTACCGAGCCTAATTCCAGCCATGCTCAACTGTATTCCGGCGAAGCTGAGCTGGAGATTGGTTGTGCCGGTCAGCCAACAACCCTTCTCGGCCACGTTCCAAGTGTCGGCCTTCCTACCGGGTTAAGGTGCGTGCATTACAGCCTTGCAACGCGTGAGCCGGGGAGCCACATCTGGGCTGTTCCTCCACCTGTCCACCCTTCGCGGAACCGAGATCATATAGCTCGGTCCCTCGCGGGCTTTGCCATTACCGAGCAATATCTCGGCCTGATTTTGGGGCCCAATACCTCGGCCCAAATCTGTCCGACTAACGTCACGGCCCAATCTCAAATCATAAATCTCCCGGCAACGGCTTCCGTCAAGGGAGACAAAGAACATCTTCTTGCCTTTGATCTCACCAAAGCTCTTCTCCTGCCTAGCGACGTGGTTGGCAGCGACCACGTTCCTGACACCCGGCTGGTGAAATCAGCCGTGAAGTCTATGACCAGGGTAAAAATCTCAACCTTATACTCCAATTTTCTTATTGTTTGCACGGTTTCTTCTTCTCTGATCAGGTTTCCTTTTTGCAGGCCATCCAAAAACAACACTTGGTCATGGAACGCATCCACCGACTTCGACAAAAGGCAGCCGACACTGACAGCCAGGTCCAAAGCCTCCAAGACGAGCTCGGCCGGGCAAAAGCATCTCTCCAAATCGCCAATGCTGACAACAACAGGTTGCACGGTCAGCTTAACGAGGCCGAGAAGAAGCGCGATGAGCTCCAGGCCGAGCTGAACGCTCTGAAAAGGTCAAGGAAGAAGGACTGCCGAGATGCAAATAACGCCGGCTTCCTAGAAGCCGAGGGAAGCTACAAGAAGCAGGTCTTCGCTACCCAAGATATCTACTTCAAAGCGGGTTGGAAGTCTGCTTGCGAGCATCTTAGTCAGGGACCTGATACTGACGTCTTTGCCACCCCGCCGCTGGCCTCCCTGCCGGCCTACCTCGTGCCATATGCCAATGACGTCTTCAGTGTGCTACAGGCTGAGGCCGAGGAAGGGCTTGAAGAGGGAGAGGCCGGGGAAGATACTGACGGAGAGGAACAACCAGAACAGGAGCAGCCCGGCCGAACTGAGCCTGATGTTAAAGACCGATCTCTAGTAGTGAACTTGGAGACAACTCCAGAAGATGAATTCACCCATCTCTCCCCCTTAGCTTAGTTTTTTTTTTTTTTCTGCAAATGTAACCGGGCTAAGGTCCCCACCTTTTGTATTAACTTTTTTTATCAATGAAAAGTTTTAATTTCATCAAGTGTTTGCACGATTTTCCCCATCTCTATTTTCAGCAAAACATCTCGGTTTGTATGACTAAGTTGCATAAATCACCAACTATCTTGACCGGAGTTAGTACCTCGGTAAACAAACTCATCCCGGTTGGAATCTCTGGGTTGGACAAACCACTAACTCTTTCAACCGGTGTAACTCATCTCGGTTGGAATCTATGAGTTGAACAAACCATCAACTCCTTCAACCGGCATAACTCATCTCGGTTGGAATCTCTGAGTTGGACAAACCACCAACTCCTTCAACCGGCGTAACTCATCTCGGTTGGAATCTATGAGTTGAACAACTCATCAACTCCTTCAACCAGCATAACTCATCTCGGTTGGAATCTATGAGTTGAACAAACCATCAACTTCTTCAACCGGCGTAACTCATCTCGGTTGAAATCTCTGAGTTGGACAAACCACCAACTCCTTCAACCGGCGTAACTCATCTTGGTTGAGAATTTCAAGTAATCAAAGCAATCAGTCAAAATGCTCAGTCAAAGAAGACACTTCTATATATTGACAAAAAGAATTACATTCTGAAGTGTAAGGCAAAAAATTCCTTTGCACAAAAAAGGAAACAAAAGCTAGAAATAGTACAGTTTGAGGTTGGCCGCATTCCATAGCCGGGGTATTCCTCTACCATCGAGATCCTCTAAGTGGTATGGCCCTTTGCCCGCCAGACCGGTTATCTTGTAGGGTCCTTCCCAATTTGCCCCTAGTTTGCCTTCACCTGGCACCAGGGTGTTGCCCATAACTTCCTCAAAACCCAATCACCTACTTTGAAGGGTCTGGGGTGCACCGTTTTATTGTACTTCCTTGAGAGTTCTTGTTGGTAGGCAGCAATGTGGATGAGAGCCTTTTCCCGGCGCTCTTCCACCAAATCCATTTCCAGAGCAATGGCCTCGGCGTTTAGCTCGGGTTCAAAACTTTCACTTCTGAGAGTGGGCATACCTACTTCCAAAGGTATGACCGCCTCCATGCCATAAGCCAAAGCGAATGGACTTTCCCTGGTAGAACGCCGAGGGGTAGTTCGGTATGCCCAAAGGACGCTAGAAAATTCCTCGGCCCACTTTCCCTTGGCCTTCTCAAGTCTCTTCTTCAATCCGTCAAGAATAGTCTTGTTTGACGCCTCGGCTTGACCATTGGACTGCGGGTAAGCCGGAGTGGAGTTGTAGAATTCAATCTTCAAATCGTCACAAAACCCTCTGAATAGGCGACCGTCAAACTAAGTGCCGTTATTAGAGATCAAAATTTTAGGGACGCCGAACCGTGTTACCACATTCTGCCAGACAAACCGCTTCACGTCTTTCT